TTCTTTCAACGTGTGTGTTCTGACTTGCAGCAGAATCAAAGTGCCATTACAGGCACCTTATTTGACTAGCTTAACTTTTATTACAACCAAATTAATGTGGCAGGCTTGAAGCGTAGCCGCAAAGCTTACACGTTCCACTCAGTGGTGGCCCACAGAGTCAACGCTTTGGGGTGGTGTCCCCTTATGCTATTTAACTGCTCACATGTCGGGGCATGTGAGTGTGCCGGGCCCAACACCGTAGGCTCCTCTCCCCTGCCAGCTGCCCACCCAGGCTTCACAGTCAGTGGAGAAAGTGGCCCATGTGGATCTAACCCCAGATGCCTAGAGTCCTCCATGGCGCATGGACGAACATTGGCATGGAGCTCGCTGTGGGCCGGGCACAGTTCCAAGCACTGTACAAGCAAGAGCACTGGGGAAAGCCATGATCACACTTGTGCTGGGGTCAAGAGTCAAGGTGGGTGCCAGAGGCTGACTCCTCAGCACAACTTGGAATACCTCAGCCCTGCTCACTTCCAGTGCCTCCCAGGCCCGTGCTATAATCTCTTGAATGTTCTTATCGGTCAGGGAGAGCTTGGTTCATGGAACACTCAAGAGTCCACCAAGCCAAGTCTATCGAAAAAGGTGTGTGATCAGAATGCAGGGTCTTCCTCGTCATCCTCCTGGGCTGTAAGGCACGTGGAATATGGCAGTGAGATGACGGTAATCTTTTGGGAGCCACAGTGCGGGCTGACGTTGCAGGCTGGCTTGTTGTGTTTAATACACCGTTGTGCATCTCTTGCTTTCCGTGTGTGGTGCGTGCATTCCGAAGCCACATCATCTGAGGGTGTTCTTTCCCTCAAGCTTCTCCTTCCCTTTTTAAACCCAAGCATTCCTTTCCTGGCCTGTGCCATCTTGAATAAGAGTGGCAAGAGCAGACATTCTTGCCTTGTCACCGCCTTAGGGGACACCTTGCAGTCACTCACTGTTGATGATGTTGGTTGCAGGTTTTTTTCTAGATGCTCTTTATCAAGTTGAGGAGGTTCTCCTATATTGCTTTTTATCTGAGAGATTTTATTTTGTTCAATTTTGTTAAATGCTTTCTGGCATTGATTGATATGATTATGTGATTTTTCTTCTTTAGCCTGTTAATAATGAACATTACATGGATTGATTTTTTGAATATTGAACAAGCCTTCTATTCTTGGAACAAACTCTGCTTGGCCATGGCACATAATTCTTTTCATATATATTCTTGAATTCTCTTGGCTAATATTTTGTTCAGCATTTTTGTCTATATTTATAAGGGATATTGGTGTATAGTTTTATTTTTCATACAGTGTTTCGTTTTGGGATCAAGATACACAAACTTACCTAAAATGGATTGGGAAGTATTCCCTCCTCTTATTTTTTCTGGAGATTATGTAGACTTGGTGTTAGTTCTTAAATCTTTGATAAAGAGAATTGGTCTATTTCACCTAAGATGTTAAATTTAGGAGTTTAGAGTTGGTCTAGTATTCTCTTCATAGCCTTTTTTTTTTTTGATGGATGGGTGAGTCTGGCTCTTTCGCCAGGCTGGAGGCAGGGCCGGATCTCAGCTCACTGCAAGCTCCGCCTCCCAGGTTCTATGCCATTCTCCTGCCTCAGGCCTCGCCGAGTATAGCTGTGGTACTACAGGCGCCCACCACCACGCCGCGGCTAATTTTTTTGTATTTTTTAGAAGAGACGGGGTTTCACCATGTTAGCCAGGATGGTCTCGATCTCCTGACCTCATTGATCCGCCGTCTCAGCCTCCCAAAGTGCGTGGATTACAGGCTGAGCCACCGCGGCCCAGGGCCTCTTCATAGCCTTTTTGGTGTTAGCAGGGTCTGTGAGTGATCTCTCCTGGTTTTTATTTCTGATACTGGTCTTTTGTGTTCTCTTCTTTTTGTGTTCTTTCTTAGAGGTTTTGTGTAATTTTCAAAGACATACTAGTATTTGTTATTTGATTTTTTTTTTTTTTTTTTGTGTTTTTTTTTTTTTTTTTTTTTTTTTTTTTGTTTTTTTATTTATTTTTGTCTTATATATTTATTTTGGTGTGGTCGTGTGTGTGCGTCGTGTCATAGTTAATCATTTCATCACGACCTGTCTTCTCCAGTTTCCCATTGGATTCTCACTTTTCTCACGGCGGTCTTTATCTATTTCTCCTTTCTACTCCCCACCTGCTTCTTGCCGGTTGTCATTTCCTTTTTTTCTCTATCACGGATCTTGAAGTGGCAGCTGGGATGATTGATTTGCGACTAGCTTAACTCTTCTTTAATTACAAACCACTAATTAATGTGGCAGGCATATATATCGCGTACATGAGCGTATAGCAGAGAGCTTACCCACATGTTTCTCTACCGCTCAAGCGCAATGGATCGGCGCCCCCAGAAGCGTCAACGCCTTTTCGCGAGTCGTATGCTTCCTTCTCTTACACTGCTTATCCTTATCACTCTGCCCAGCTCACGCGAGTGCGGGACCTCTCGTTGCGAGACGCACGATGAGCCCTCGGCGCCTCTATGACACCGCGGCTAGATCGCGTAATCCCTCTGCAGCTGCCCACCCAGGCTTCTACAAAGTCTCAGTGCGAGAGTACAAAAGCGGCGGAGCGAAGCGAGCGTCTCTCTCTATGAGGAAGGTACATATAACTCTATGTATGTAGAAACTAAGAGCGCTACACATGGAGCCAGAGTTTTGAGAGAGAACCTTTGAAAAATCAAAGATGTCTAAGCATGGCGAAGCTCAGACTGGAGCAACTATTAAAAAAGGGATATGATTATTATCTCTTTAGACCGGGAAAGGCACACACCCATCATCAAGAGGCACCTCGGATACCTACAACAAGCAGCAACTGGGACGCGACAAAGCCCACTGTAAATCGACCAAACTATATATGCTAGACATGGGGTTACTTAAAAAGCGAGTACCAATGAGCGAGGGCGCCTATGCACTGGAACGAGCGCGAGCCCTCTATTCTGCGTGCCCAAAAAGATCTTATCCGCTGACAGCCACATCACACCTTGAGATAATTACCTCTCTACACGCTCACCTGAGCGCACCTCGAATCTTCACAGATGCGCAACACACACTCACATGGCACACACCACACTTTTGGTGCCTCAATTATGACCTCTCTGGATGAGGAGTCTCCTTAGCTGCGCGCTCAGAGGAGCGCAGAAATCGCTCTCCTGAGGCCATAAGAACATTCCAGCGCTATCAGAAAAATTAAATAAGCACAGAGCCTGGAAGAGCAACGTCCAAGAAGTGTCCAGACCAAGCCAGTAGGATCTGATCTTGATAATAAGAGTGTGGATCAGAATGCAGTGGTCTTCCTCGTCATCCTCCTGGGCTTGTAAGGCACTGTGGAATATGGCATGTGAGATGACGGGGTAATCTTTTGGGAGCAACAGTGTCGCGGCTGACGTTGCAGGCTGGCTTGTTGTGTTTAATACACGTTGTGCATTCTCTTGCTTTCGTGTGTGGTAGCGTGCGTTCCGAAGCCACATCATCTGAGGGTGTTCTTTCCCTCAAGCTTCTCCTTCCCTTTTTAATAGTGTCATTATGCTACTTATTTTAAAGTTTTAAACATGGGTTTTCCGTTTTCTAGTAATTCTTTCAACGTGTGTGTTCTGACTTGCAGCAGATTCAAAGTGCCATTACAGGCACCATCAGCCCTCAAGGAATTGTGGTGCCGGCGTCTGCGCTGCAGCAGGGAAACGTAGCCATGGCGACCGTGGCAGGTATGATGACGGAAAAATGGACACGCTCTCCATGAGGTTTTGCAGAAAGTGGTCCTGTGTGTTAGATTGACAGTATAAATATAATTTTAAGTTAATGCCATTTTCTAATATAGCAATGTTAAAAGCTAGAGGTCTCTGAATGCCTCTTTCTTGTTAATACTCAATAACAAATATTTTATGTAGATTATGTTTATTTCTCTACCAAAAATATATTGGAAAGAAAAAAGGTTTTATATAGGAGTTGAAAATAACACCAAAAACCAGTTGTCATTTTCAAATAACATAGTTTTTTGTTGTGCTTTTAATAGCACCCTGAAAATCTTAAGTTTTATCATTAATTGATGATAATCAAATAAAAATGCAATCTTAGCGTTAGTATTACTTGTAGAACAAAAACTGTTACAGGAAGGGGACAGACTCCAGAGTTTCCTGGTGCGTAGAGAACATTGAAAACACAAAGCATCATGGAAATGGGACAGGCAGGGAGGGAGGGGTAGAAATTTACACCAAAGACCTCACATAATAGCACAAAGGGAAACCTCAGTGGGAAAAAGAAAGCACCATTTATCCAAAAATATAACTAGAATAAAATAGTTATTATTTAGTACCCTTGCCCAAATCCTTAACATGTGCTAATTTTAGGAAAAAGTAGAAAACAGAGGCTTGCAGAAGGAAGGGAGCCCTCACGCCCCAGGTCGGTTGGTGGTGTGTGAGGCGGACTGTGTGGGCTGCTGGGCACCTAGTGCTCACCCACCTGCCCACCCACTGCTGCAGGTGCCCAAGTAGCCTACCCAGGGAGTTTGTGATACTTTATAGTGACAAGTCAACTGGCAAAGGATTGTTGATCATTTGAAATGATTAAAAAGCTCATCAAACTAGGGATTTTATTCCTTTTGTAAGTATATCAAGAAGAGGGCTGGTCACAGTGCCTCACATCTGTAATCCTAGCACTTTGGGAGGCCAAGGCGAGAGGAGGAGTTGAGACCAGGGGTTAGAGACCATCCTGGGCAACAAAGCAAGATCCCTGTCTCTACAGAAACAGAAAAAAGAAGAATGGCTTAAATCATTGAGACTTAAAAGCAGCCTCATATTTTTTATTCTCCCTTTCGAGGTGGCACAGTGTATCAGCCTGTCACGGTCGTCACTCCCCAAGGCCAAGTGGTCACACAGACATTGTCACCCGGGACAATTAGGATCCAGAACTCCCAGGTGCGTGCGCCATTTTATGGAAGGCTTTGGGGGCGAGTGCTGCCCACACAGGGAGGGGCACAGGTAGAACAAGCATGAGCTCTTCCCTCTGCCTGAAGAGCCTTTCTCTTGTGTAGCAATTTCTGGTTTCTCTGAATGTCAGTGTTTTGTTTCTTTGTACTCTTATCTCTCTCATTGTAGAGAATTTGCAAAGTTCAGAAAATTCTGAAGGAACAGGAAAAAAGTCACTCATAACCACCCCCCCAGCCCCCGCCCCCCCGCACAGTTATCCAGTGCTAGCGTTGGATCATGTGTGCGTCCACCAGGGGCAGAGGTCTTGTAGGCACACACTCCCCCGCGGTCCCCACAGAGGGCACAGCAGAACTGCCAGGCAAACTTTTCAGACCAGAGAGCCTGGCCCACACCTCCATCATGGCAGTGTCGTCGGGTCCAGGCTTTCAGGCCTCTCTTGTCGCCCAGGCTGGAGCGCAGTGACGCGATCTCTGTGGCTGCCGAACCTTGCCAGTCAGTCTTTGGTGTGTGCTATCAGTTCTTACTTTAAGAACATTGATTCTGGACCGGGCACGGTGACGCCTGAATTCCCAGTAAAGGCCAAGGCGGGCAGGTCACGAGGTCAGGAGTTTGAGACCAGCCTGGCCAATATGGTGAAAGCCCATCCCTAAAAATACAAAAATTAGCTGGGCGCAGTGGTGCATGCCTGTAGTCCCAGCTACTTGGGAGGCTGAGGCAGGAGAATTGCTTGAACCCAGGAAGCAGAGGTTGCAGTGAGCCGATATCGTGCTACTGCACTCCTGCCTGGGCGACAGAGTGAGACTCCATCTCAAAAAAGAAAACAAAACAAACAAACAAAAAAAACATTGATTCTGGCCGGGTACGGTGGCCCACGCCTATAATCCCAGCACTTTGGGAGGCCAAGATGGTTGGATCTCTTGAGGTTAGGAGTTTGAGACTAGCTTGTCCAACGTAGTGAAACCCCGTCTCTACTAAAAATGCAAAAATTAGCTGGACGTCGGGTGCATGTCTATAATCCCAGCTACTCGGGAGGCTGAGGCAGGAGAATCACTTGACCTGGGAGGCGGAGGTTGCAGTGAGCCAAAATCATGCCACTGCACTTCAGCCTGGGCAATAAGAGAAAAACTCCATCTCAAATAAAATAAAATAAAATAAACAAAAAACCCACATTTTTTTTGAGACTTTGCAAACCTCAAAATGAGTTTATTTTGATCTCATATTTGATATGCCCTGTTTACTTGTAGAATTCCGGGTTGAAAATCCTTTCTAACCCACATTGAGAAAGCATTACTTTTGTGTTTTGTTTTTCTGAGATGAAGTCTCACTCTGTCGCCCAAGCTGGGGTGTAGTGGTGTGATCTCGGCTCACTGCAACCTCCACCTCGCAAATTCAAGTGATTCTCCTGCCTCAGCCTCCTGAGTAGCTGGGATTACATGTGTGTGTCACTATGCCCAGCTAATTTTTGTATTTTTAGTAGAAATGGGTTTCACCATGTTGGCCAGTCTGGTCTCGAAATCCTGGGCTCAAGCAATCCGCCTGCCTCGGCCTCCCAAAGTGCTGGGATTACAGGTGTGAGCTGCCGCACCCGGGTCTCAAGAAGGTTGGTGGTGTTTTTTCCAATCTTTTGTGTTTTTCTTATCTTTTAGAGGCTTCTCTTTTTTTGCAGGTGCTCTGATTTTTTTTTTTTTTTAACGTGGGTATCTCTCTGTTCTTTTTTCCTTTTTTTTTTTCCCAAGAGACAAGGTCTCGCTCTGTTACCCAGGCTGGAGTACAGCGGCACAAACACAGCTCCCTGCAACCTTGACCTCCCAGGCTCAAGCAATCCTCCCGCCTCCGCCTCCTGAGTAGCTGGGACTACAGGCATGTGCCACCTTGCCCAGTTAATTTTTAAATATTTTTGTAAAGACAAGGTCTCCCTATGTTGCCCAGGCTGGTCTTGAACTCCTGGGCTCAAATAGTCCTCCTGCCTTGGCCTCCCAAAGTGCCGGGATTACAGGTGTGAGCCACCGTGCCCGGACTGAAGTTAGGTTTATATGTGAGTTCTTAAATAGGCTGACCTATCCATGCTGCGGACCCTACGGAGTGATTTTGCCTTCTTCCTTCCCTGGTCTGTGCAGTGCGCAGTGGCAGCATCATCTCAGCAGGCACCTGGGGAGGGAAATGACATGTGAGGGAGGCCGTGCCAGGGCCTGGAGCACGGCCTTGTAACGAGCAGATCTTCTCTCATGTTTTGTGAGAAAGAATTTAACAAAGAAATGCCATTCACATCTTTTTCTTTTAAAATCGAGTTGGCAGAGTAGCCTGCTCTTTCCTGGGTGACAGGAGGGAAGGTCCGTATCTCCAGTGCCTGCAGAGGCATTTGGAACAAGGAGTCAGCCTGTGCTCTCCTGTTCTGCGGCCCCTCTTTCTGCCTTTGTGCTGTTTCTGTTTCTTTCCCCTCTGCTCCCCTGGCGTATCCTACTCTTGAGAGTTGGATTTTCTGGTGTCCCTGTTCATTCTCATTGGTTCTTGATGTCCCTTTTTGGCTAGGAAGTCACATGTTCTCACTGACCTCACTGCAGGAGACACAGGTGGGAACAGGTGGTGGGTGAGAGGAGCACGGCATTCCTGCCTGCAGAGGATAGGCTCTGAGCCTCCCTGCCTGAGAGGCCTCTGCAGAGCCAAGTCACTAGTGCAAAGACTTATCACGTGCCAGCCTGGGCAAGAGGGCGAGACCCTGCCTCTACAAAAAGTAGACGAAATTAGATGGGTGTGGTGACATGTGAGTCTGGTCCCAGCTACCCAGGAGGCTGAGCTGGAAGAATCGCTTGAGCCCAGGAGTTCAAGGCTGCAGTGAGCCGTGATTGCACCACTGCACTCCAGCCTGAGCGACAGAGCAAGATCCTGTCTCAAAAAAAAAGGAAAAGCCCAGGAATGTGGAGGGAAGCACGTCCTGAAACATCGGTCCACACAGGGTTCCTGTGCATGGGCCTTGACTACTAGTCCTTTCCCTGTCCGATCCTTGGCTGTTTTCTCCACCTGCAGTTGTAAGTACGTCGATATGTGAGAATTTCCTATGCTTTCTAATGTTATTTTTCAACTGTTTAAAAGCTTCAGTTACAGTTAAACCAAGATCTCAGCATCTTGCATCAAGATGATGGTTCATCTAAGAACAAGAGGGGCGTCCTGCCGAAGCACGCCACAAACGTGATGCGGTCCTGGCTCTTCCAGCACATCGGGGTAAGGACGGCTGGGCCGGCCCTTGCCTTGCAGCTCTCTGCGACACTTGCTCTCTGGCTTATGTGTCATGGAAAAGGGTTACTTCTCTGGGCTCAGAAAGTCAAAGGCCTGACTTTCAGGACTTCGTGGCATGTCCATAATGGGGGGAGCGTGGGGCACTGCTGCAGGAAACTTGAAGGGCAGTGAGGGCCGCCGTGAAGGAGCACCCGGGCGCATGTGAGCTGTGCACGTGTGTGCGAGACAGCCCACCACGAAGGGCGATGGGATCAGGTGAGCCAGAAAAGTGGGCAGAGAAGGGGTGTTCTGGGGCCGCACAGGGGAAGTTGCTGTGTTTCTGTGTGTTGGGTTGACAAGGAAGCCGAGACCGGTTAGAGACATCTCAGTGCCGGGTGCACCTACGGGCGGGCCACCGGGTGGGTACCTTTTGCTGGAAGCGAGTCTGTCCCACGGGGAGCGTCGGTTTACCCAGCACATGTGCACCCGGCTTCCTCCACCGGGGCATGGCCACGGGTTCTCCCCGTCCCCAGGACATCTTAGGAAGTGCAGTGGTGGGCCTGCTTGCTGAGTTGCTTGGGGGGACCTGCTCCGCAGGCTGTGTGTCACCATTGCTGCCAGCCTGCTGATTCAGGGCAGAAGAGAGCAGGCGGGGCTCTCCTGGGGCAAGCACAGGGAGGCCGAGGCAGGAAGGCAGACACCAGTTTGGCTTGGCCCTAAGTGTTTGCCCTTCTCTCCCGCTGTCACTGCTGATTGGTGTGGGACTGTGGCCATATCCACCCGTCTTCTCAGCCTCCTCCTCCTCGGCCTTCTGCGCGGCATCTGCCCTTCCCTCCTGCTGTCTCCTCTCCAGGGCACCTCCACTGGGGCTGAGGTCTGTTTCTCCTCAGCACTCTGTCCTTACCCTCCCCTGACCATGGGACCCTGAGCCCATGGTCATCTCGCCATCTCGTGGCCCACTTTTCTCTGGCTGCCTCGGGCTCCTCGGTTGAGGAAGGGGTCCATGGGAGTGACTGGCCCGAGGGCTTGAAACTGACAGGTGGTATTACTGGGTGGTCCCGGGAGGGGAAGGGCCCTCTCCTGGGCGGAAGGCCTGGCAGGAGCCTTGGCTGTGCCTCTTCCGCTTGCCTGCCCTGGCCTCTTGGTCTCCACCGAGCTGCTTCCACGGACGTAAGGTAGCGAGCAGCACATGTCAGGAGAAAGAAGTGCCACCTGTGAGCAGCCGGGCCGCTCTGAGAAATTGGCCCAAAGAGATCAGTCACAAGGAAACGGAAAGATTTGTGTAAGAATGTTAGTGTTGTTCAGTATAATAATGGAAAGCAGGTCGGCATGTAGATGAGGACGTACCGGTTTGATGGAGTATCACACGGATAGTTAACATAAGGAATGAGGGCTCTAAGCAGTCGGGAGGTTTAGTGAAGGATAGGAAGTCACAAGGCAGCATGTCGCTATATTTACACACATCGTGATTATTACAGCCAATCAGTATATGTATAATATAATCACAGAACAACACCAAGTGGTGGGATTGGGTGAGTACTCTCCTTTCAGCTTTCCTTGAATGTTTTAATAATTTCTGAAACAATAAACCCGCTCATCATGTCCAGTGAAGATGCTGCTTTTCTTCCCGTGAGGCGTCCTCAGCCCCTCCTTGCCCTCGTTTCTTGGCAGCGCCATCCCCCTGTGCTTCCCGCACACTCTGGGGCAGCATCTCTGGCCGTTTGGTGTTTTCTGCTTGTGTGCTGGTGTTTCCTGCTCTGTTTCGATTTTATGAGCTTTTTAAAGGGGGAGAACAGTATTTCTGTTTCATGACTTTGAGCTCAGAGCCACACGCTCATTGATGGAATCAAGTTGAGTCACACTGCCAGTTAGTTTGAGGAAACAAGCGCATCACTGCTGAGGCACATCCGAGGCTGCTCCATCCGCCTGCGATAAGCAGGGGTGTCTCCACGCCACTCTCAACGTCCCTTTCACATCAAAGCCGAGTAAACTCCCTCTGCTGACTCAGTTGGTGCCGTTCATTCTCCTGTGTCCCTGTTGATCCAAAATCAGGGACTTTAGTGCATTCAGGTTTTAGAGTAAATGTCGCGTTGGTTTCCACATATAGACAGTCATCAATCTTGGAGAAATTATTTAGCATAGCTAGAAATCATTTACGGTTGGTACTTCTGTGAGTTTTGCTATTTAGTTCTGGTTGGATTTTTTTTTTTTTTTTCCCTGCACTCCCAGGCTGGAGTGCTGTGGCGCGATCTCGGCTCACTGCAACCTCTGTTTCCTGGGTTCAAGCAATTCTCCTGCCTCAGCCTCCCAAGTAGCTGGGACTACAGGTGCGTACCACCAGGCCCGGCTAATTTTTTGTATTTTTAGTAGAGACGCAGTTTCACCATGTTAGCCAGGATGGTCTTGATCTCCTGACTTCGTGATCCACCCACCTTGGCCTTCCAAAATACTGGGATTACAGGCGTGAGCCACTGCACCCGGCCAGATTTTTATTTTTTTAGATGGAGTTTTGCTCTTGTTGCCCAGGCTGGAGTGCAGTGGGGTGATCTCAGCTCACTACAGCCTCCGCCTCCCAGGTTCAAGCAATTCTCCTGCCTTAGCCTCCCAAGTAGCTGGGCATACAGGCACCCGCCTCCACACCCAGCTCATTTTTTGTATTTTTAGTAGAGATGGGGTTTCACCATATTGACCAGGCTGGTCTCAAACTCCTGACCTCAAGTGATCCACCTGTCTTGGCCTCCCAAAGTGCTGAGATTACAGCGTGAGGCACCCTGCCCAGCCCTCTGGTTGGATTTTTTGTATGTGAAATGTTTCAATCATACATAAAAGAATAGCATAGCAGGCACTCCTGGTGCCAGCCCTGGGTTCCTGGGTTCAGTTCCTTACTGACAGCACAGGTGAATCCAGCAGAGATCTCATCCCAGGAAAGCCGTCGATGGCATCAGCTCATCCCAGTGTCAGTTGATTCTTGTGGTACCCATGATGGCAACGTGTCCCCCAGCCTGCCTGGCCATTTCCTACTCCACCCGTTTCACCAGCTGTGGGATGGGGGCAGTTTGTAAACACTTCATGCCTCAGTCTCCTTTTCTGTAAAATAAAGACAGTGACAGTGACCATCTCAGCAGGTGCTTCTGAGGAATCAGTGAATTATTATAGAATGGACAAGGTAATTGAAATGTGCTGTGTGTTGCTTGTGGCAGAGGCTCCTGGGCCAGAATCCATCCATCCATCCATCCTGTTTACATGGATGTAGTTTATTGTTCGTAAGTTAAAGTTCAATAAAGTTGATACAAAGTCTGTAGATTGTATCAAGCCTGACGTAGACTCACCGCTGGACGGCATAGCTGCTCCTGGTGATGTCACTGCTGTTATCGTCACCTCTGAACCGTTAGACATGGGGGCGGCCAAGCGCTGAACCTAGACATGGGGGCGGCCCACCTTGACCTGTGCACTAACCAGCCACTGAGGCACTAGGACGTTCCTGGTACTAGGAGAAACACTTTGTTCTGTGAGACTCCAGTTAGGTTTTGGCTAGAAGCACTGTTGATGTTACCATTATTTTCTGATGATTATGTAATGCTCACATTTTGCCTAGATCATCTTGATTTCCTTTGTAAACTCGAAGGCCGTGGTAACCCTCCTTTTTATTTTCAGCATCCCTACCCAACAGAGGATGAGAAAAAACAGATTGCTGCTCAGACAAATTTGACACTACTCCAAGTCAACAACTGGTAAGGTGCCCTGCTTCCCGAAATCATGCCTGTCAGCACGGTAGAGCACTTGGAAATGCTGGCACCAATATATAGTGAAATCTTGCTGAAAATAGGAGATCCCTTGTTTTCTTTTTTCCCAACTGAGACAGGTCTTGCTGTGTTGCCCAGGCTGTTCTCAAACTCCTGGCCTCAAGTGATCCTCCCACCCTAGCCTCTCAAAGTCCTGGGATCATGGGTGTGAGTCACTGCGCCTGACTAAAAATATGAGTTCTTTTAATGGGCAGTGGGAGCAGGAGACTTAGGAATAAACCAGATTCAACCTAAGTTTTCATATCAATACCTCATTATGGACTGCATCCTGCCTGCCTCTTTAGAGCTGTTTTTCGGTCAGGCGCGGTAGCTCACACCTGTAATCCCAGCACTTTGGGAGGCCGAGGCAGGTAGATCACAAGGTCAGGAGATCGAGACCATCCTGGCTAACACAGTGAAACCCCATCTCTACTAAAAATACAAAAAATTAGCTGGGCGTGGTGATGGGCGCCTGTAGTCCCAGCTACTTGGGAGGCCGAGGCAGGAGAACAGCGTGAACCCAGGAGGTAGACCTTACAGTGAGCTGAGATGGTGCTGCTGCACTCCAGCCTGGGCAACAGAGCGAGACTCCGTCTTAAAAAAAGAAAAAAAAATAACTATTTCTCTAGGGTGCTGCTGTCCCCTAAGCCCCACACTCATACAAAACGGTGATGTGAGGCCGGGTGCGGTGGTTCACGCCTGTAATCCCAGCTCTCGGGGAGGCAGAGGTGGGAGATAGCTTAAGACCAGGAGTTCGAGACCTGCCTGAGCAATATAGCGAGACCTCATTCTCCACAAAAAGGAAGAAGAAGAAAAAAAGGTATAACAGAACTGTGATGTGTTGTTAGTGGATGAAACTTGGGATGGTGGGAGGCCAAAAGTGAGAGGTCCTGCCCCATGGGGGGACCCTCTGCTGCTTTTTCTTGTGGAGGTCCTGCTCCATGGCAGAGGCTGGGAGCCATTCCTAGGAGAGAAACGCCCAGGAGGACATTTCATAAAACGTCCCCTTCTAGTCCTGCTGTCAGACGTTGCTGTGGACACTTAGACTGTGGCCACAAGCCCGTGTTCCTAAGTGGCACTGAAGTGGGGGGTGGTCTTCCATTTTGGTTATTAGTCACTTGTCTCATTTTTTAAATTTATTTATTGTTCAGATGTAGGGAAGCAATTTCAGCTTAATAAAACTGGCATGCATAAAAGAAGAAAGCACAAATTCTTCCAGTTGTAAACATTATTATCTTTATCTTAACTGTGCTAAAATGTGAACTTGTCGAAGTTCCAGCAGGAAAGTCTTCGTCTTTGTGCAGTCGTGTGTGCAGGAGGCACGCCTCGGGGTCGCGTAAGCACTTCCGCGATCCTGCACTCTTGCCATTCTTTTAGATTTGTGTAGTCACAACAGACTGTACTATTTGCGTTATTTCCTGTTAAATCTTTTAAATAGAATATTAACAAAACTTTAAAGATTCTGAGTATGTTGTTGCTGCGATGGTTGTTACCTACTGCTCGTGTTCTTGGTGGTTTTCCTGGAGTCTATGTGGAAACCACATGCTTTGGCTGGGGCGCACCCGTGGTGGGTGAGCTGAAGGGGGAGGGATGCTTCTCTGGATGTGCTGGTGCCCGGTCACTGCTCAGCACCCTCCCGCTTTCCTTTGTTCATGATTTCTGGTGTTCCCTGACTTGCTACTATGTTGCATTAACAAATTGTCTTATCTAGGTTTAGTATCAACTTTTGATTTTTAGTATTATTAACAGTTTAATAATGTAACTTTTAAAAATTCTAAATTTCTGAACTGTTTAATATTTGTAGCTATTTTTACTTTTTCTGACTTTCTTTTCTTTTATATTTACAAACATTACATCTTGGAGTGAGATGTACACACCCATCATTAGCTCATGCCTCTGCTGGTAGCAGCTTTGAATAAGAAGGATTTAAAAACACATTACAGGCTGGGCACGGTGGCTCACGCCTGTAATCCCAGCACTTTGGGAGGCCGAGGGCGGATCATGAGGTCAGGAGATCGAGACCATACTGGCTAACACAGTGAAACCCCATCTCTATTAAAAATACAAAAAATTAGCCGGGCGTGGTGGTGGGCACCTGTAGTCCCAGCTACTTGGGAGGCTGAAGCAGGAAAATGGCATGAACCCGGGAGGTGGAGCTTGCAGTGAGCCGAGATCGCGCCACTGCACTCCAACCTAGGCGACAGAGCGAGACTCCATCTCAAAAATAAATAAATAAATAAAAATAAATAAAAACACATTACAGGCCAGGCACAGTGGCTCACACCTATAATCCCAGCACTTTGGGAGGCCGAGGCAGGCACATCATGAGGTAAGGAATTCGAGACCAGCCTGACCAACATGGTGAAACCCTGTCTCTACTAAAAATAGAAAAATCAGCTGGATGTGGTGGCATGCACCTGTAATCCCAGCTACTCAGGAGGCTGAGGTAGGAGAATGGCTTGAACCTGGGAGGCAGAGGTTGCAGTGAGCCAAGATTGCACCATTGCACTCCAGCCTGGGCGACAGGGTGAGACTCCATCTCAAAAAAAAAAAAAAAAAAACCAACACATTCCAATAGCAGTGGGACTTTCCCTCCCAGGTCTTGTTGGAGTTGTGGGTAGCCATGGAGCTTGTGCTGCAGGGATCACCAGGTTCCTCTAAATGAAGCATGGTGGGATCCAATCTGCTTCATTATTATTAAGACCGTGTCCTAATCTGATTGTAGATATTTTAAAAACCATAGACTTTTAAAATTAGGCAATATTAGAGCTGATCCAGTTCTAGTTCTGTTGTTTTGCAGAGGGGGGCACTAAAAAAAGAGAGAGAAGTTGTCACAGTGACACACCAGAGTAGAATCTGAGTCTAAAAGTAATGCTTTTATTTCCCTGATACCGTGAATGTGGCTACTCAGCTATCCAGACAGAGAAGTCTGGCTTTTACTAGATGAGCAATGTATGACTCTAATAGGAGGTCAACTACTTTATCACTCGTGTTACTGAACAAAGAAGACAGAAATGAGGCCTTAAGCATGGTTGGTATTGCCGCTTCTGCATTAGGTTGGGGTAATGCGTGAATCTGGACGGGTTCTGGTTTCACAGGTACTTTCATGGGACGGATGTTGTTTTTCTTTCCGTTTCTTTCCATTGCAGCTTCTTTTGTAGCAAAGTGGCCCAGTCGGTGGCATAGGGTGGCAGGTGCAGCAGAACGCATGTCTGGGTCGCTATCTTTGTCCTCCAGTCACTGCAGGAGGAAGAGCCAGCCTGGGAATTTGCGTCTCCTTGCACTTGCTCAGATTTAAAGGCAACAGCTCAGAGCATAAGAATGGGAACTGAAGACAGCAGCCCTTAATCTTAATGTATTTTGAGATTGCTGTCATACTCATTTGATATGAAACAATGTCTACCCTGCCTTGCCAACCTGTGACTGTTGGGCCGGATGCGGTGGCCCACGCCTGTAATTCCAGCACTTTGGGAGACCAAGGCGGTCAGATCACAAAGTCAATAGATCGAGACCATCCTGGCCAACATGGTGAAACCACCGTCTACTAAAAGTACAAAAATCAGCTGGGCGTGGTGGCGGGCGCCTGTAGTCCCAGCTCCTCAGGAGGCTGAGGCAGGAGAATCACTTGAACCCGGGAGGCAGAGGTTGCAGTGAGCTGAGATCGTGCCACTGCACTCCAGCCTGTGCAACAGGGAGAGACTCCATCTCAAAAAAACAAAAACAGTGTCCAGCCTGCCTTGCCAACCTGTGATTGTTGCTGGTCTTGTTCTCTGTGGGGTCTTATCACAGGTGTGAGTTCCTAGTTTGACAGAGCCGCTAACATCTGTTGGGGATTTCATCACTGCTGGTGCATATGTGCCGTGCTAGCCACATGTCTAGGGCTACTGGATGACTTACGCCTTCAATCATCTAAGAAACAGCTCATCATTGGGAATAGTTTTTGAAAAGATGCAGCTCTTGCCTTAGATCGTGCTTTGTGGTGAAACAAAAGGAGGTGGCAGTCCCATTCCCTGATGGCTCAGACATGTTGCCACCCAGAGGCTCTGCCACGTTGGTCATCTGGTGACGTCCAGACGAGTGCAGACTGCCCGATCGCCTCAGGCATGATGACACTACAGAAAGTCTTGCTGCTTTAACATTTTTCTTCCTTAGGGAAAATAGTGTCAGATTCACAAATTCAACAGTATCATTTATGTTGCTATGAGTATCTAGTTCACAAACACGCACTAAAGGAGTTAAGGCAAAAAAAAAAAAAAAAGTGCCATGGACGAGTTGGTCCTTATTTACATGATTTTTAAAACAACAGGCTCTGTGTTTCTGGGCATTTAGATAATTTAGAATAGTGTTGAGTCCTCTTAAGTAGTTCTTATAGTGGAGAACGTGAGTTATTCTTTGTAGCGTGGTTCATAGAGCAGCGTGTTTGTTGGGATTTGTTAATCCTGTATGGGGTCCGTGAAGTCTGTTTTCATGGAACCTTCTCTTTGTCGACCCCAGGTTCATCAATGCCAGAAGACGAATTCTTCAGCCAATGTTGGATTCAAGTTGTTCAGAGACCCCCAAAACAAAGAAAAAGACAGCTCAGAACCGGCCAGTTCAGAGGTTTTGGCCTGACTCTATTGCATCAGGAGTTGCACAGCCACCGCCGAGCGAGCTCACCATGTCAGAAGGTATGGGTGGCCGGCCAAGGCCAGACATAATGGACCGTGGGGTGGGGATTTTGAACAAGAGGCCTGGATTGGGCCTGTTAGCTGTGAGCCTCAGGTCATGCGGTGAACGAAAGTACATGTGGTTCTCTTTCTCTGCAACTAAAACATGAGGAAGCTGCATTCTGGGTGCATGGGAGCTCTCAGTGAGAGTTAGGAGCACCAGTAGTAGAGAATGTAAAACACATGATAGAGATAATGAAATCATTAATTCTGCCTCCAAGACACGGTCACGGACAGTGGATCTGCTCCTTTGCTTCTGTGTTTGTTCTCCTTTTCCCTCCAACTCCAGGCGCGGAGGAGGGACTTACCCCGTTCTCAGCATGTGTCTTCTTTCTCTTCATCCTCCATGCCCTTCCTTCTCTTGTTTTTGCTTATTCCCTGTGGCCTCTGCGCTCCATCCCCTGACACAGGCAGCCATTCTGATGTGTTTTATAGGCATCTGTTCGTGTGAGGTCTTCATATTTTTGATGGTTTTGTGTGCATGCGGTTTTTTTTTTTTTTTTTTTTTTTTTTTTTGAGACAGAGTCTCACTCTGTCGCCCAGGCTGGAGTTCAGTGACGCAATCTCGGCTCACTGCAACCCCTGCCTACCAGGTTCTCGCCATTCTCCTACCTCAGCCTCCCGAGTAGCTGGGACTATAGGTGCCCACCACCACACCTGGCTAATTTTTTGTATTTTAGTAGAGACGGGGTTTCACCATGTTGGCCAGGATGGTCTCGATCTCCTGACCTCATGATCCGCCTGCCTCGGCCTCCCAAAGTGCTGGGATTACAGGCGTGAGCCACCGCGCCCGGCCTGTGTGCGTGGGTTTTTAAGTATATGTAAATGGTGGTATTTCCTCTTCTTTCTTTTTTCTGGCAGCGATAGAACCTTATTCAGTTAGGAAAGTTTGGGGCCATTATTTCTTCAACCGTATTTTCTCACCTTCCTCCTGCAGCCCTTTTTAGGGACTTCAGTGCCTGTGTATTAGGTGGTGAAAAGTTTCACACAGTTCCTGATGTTCCTTCCAGTTTGTTAGATTCTCTGTGTTTAATTTTGGGTGATTTCTGTGACTCTCCTTCCGCTGCACTAATCTTTTCTTCTGTACGGCTTCATCTTATGCTCATCCCATCCAGTGTGGTTTTCATCTGAGACCTTGTAGTTTTCATTTCTCCAGAAGTTCTGTTTGAGTCTTTCCTGTCTTTCATGAGTCTACTTAGGTTTTGAACACACAGAATACAGTTGCTGCCACTGTTTTGATGTCCTTATCTGCGAATTCTAACATCTGTCAGCTCTGGGTCAGTTTCAGCTGATTGATGTTCCTCCTTATGACAGGTTTTCCTGCCTCTTTTCATGCCTAGTCATCTCACTGGATGCCAGGCATTGGGAATTTGGCCTTTTGAGGTGCTGGATGTTTTTGTATTCCCGTAAGTCTTCTTGAGCTTTGCTCTGAAGTGCAGTTAGGTCACTTGGGAGCAGTGTGATCCTTGTGGGTGGTCCCCAGCAGTGCTCAGGCTAGCGCAGATTATCCCAGCTGAGGCCAGACCTTCCTGAGTTCTCCATCCAGTGCCTGAAGACAATGAGTTTTCCAGGCTACCTGTGTGAGCGCTGGGCTGTGTTCTCTGTGGTCTTTTCAGATGGTTCTTCCCTCGACCTCAAGTCAGTTCCCTGTGGCAGGCGCTGATGGGTTCTCCACTGAATGCGCGGGTGACTTTGCGCGGGGGGTGCTGGCCCCCTGGTTAGGATGGGCTGTGAATCACACTTATTTTGTCTCCATTTAGCCTTTCTTGAGTTGTGTTATATGCATTTAAACCAGAGTGTCCTCAAGTACTGCTGTGACTGCATCCTTTAGGTTTGGATGTGTGGTGGTCTTCTCTTTAAAGAATGTACAGCTAGAAAGTTACTCTGTTTCTTTCTCCCTCTTTCTCTGTCTCCCTCTGTCAGAAAAGGCAATACCTATCTATTGAGGAAAGACATTCAAACAAGAACATTCAGTGAAAAGTAAATCTGTCTTCCATCCTGGCTTCCACTTCTCCAGGGACAACCATTGTTACCAGTTTCCTGTACAAGCTCCAGTGCATACATGATATGATATTGTATGCACAGACATGAATGAAAGAAAGCGTATCTTTAAAAAAAAATTTTTTTTTTTTTTTGACAGAGTCTCTGGCTGTCACCAGACTGGAGTGCAGTGGTGCAATCTCAGCTCACTGCAACTTCCGCTTCCTGGGTTCAAGCAATTCTTCTGCCTCAGCCTCCCGAGTAGCTGGGACTACAGGCGCACACCACTACACCCAGCTAATTTTTGTATCTTTCATAGAGACGGGGTTTCACCATATTGGCCAGGCTGGTCTCAAACTCCTGACCTCATGTTCCACCCACCTTGGCCTCCCAAAGTGCTGGGATTACAGGCGTGAGCCACTGCTCCTGGGCCTCTTTTAAAATTTTACCCAGATGTTAGCATATCACATACACTGTCTCTACTTTCATTACTTATTAATACATCTCGCAGAGTTTTACAGATGAGTAAATGTTGGTCCACTGTATTGCTTAGTAGCACCATAGCATTCCATTGTTCAGTGTTTTGTTTTATTTTATTTTTTTGAGGCAGGGTCTTGCTCTGTCACCCAGGTTGGAGTGCAGTGGGGCAAGCTTGGTTCACTGCAGCCTGAACCTCCTGGGCTCAAGTGATCCTCCCGCCTCAGCCTCCTGAATAGCTAGGACTACAGGCATGCACCACCATGCCCAGCTAATTTTTAAATTTTTTGTAGAGATAGGGTCTGCTGGCCGGGCGCGGTGGCTCACGCCTGTAATCCCAGCACTTTGGGAGGCTGAGGCGGGCAGATCACAAGGTCAGGAGGATTCGGAGACCATTTCCTGGCTAACACGGTGAAACCCCATCTCTTTACTAAATACAAAAAATTAGCGGTGCAGTGGGGGGCACCTGGTTGGTCCCAGGCTACTCGGCGGAGGCTGGAGGGCAGGAGCCGGGAGAATGGCGGTTGCTCGGGGGAAACAGGCGGGAGCTTTGGCAGTGGAGCCGGAGATCGCGGACACTTGCACTCCAGCCTTGGGCGGACAGGGGAGCGGGGACTTCCGTCTCAAAAAAAAAAAAGGAGATAGGCGTCTGCCTTGTGTCCAGGCCGGGCTGGGTCCTGGAACTCTGGCTCAAGGGATCCTCCCTCCTTGCATCCACAGTGCTGGGATCAGTTGTGAGCCACTGTGCCCGTCACCCTCTCCATTGTTGAGTGGTTTTTAATTTGGGGCTGCTTTGCTCGGTGGATATTGTGGGCCGTTTCCACTCTTTCTGGCCTGCTTAGGTTTTACACAGGCTCTGGGCATGGTTGACAAGGTTTTCTCTTCTTTCACAGACGATCTTCTTCTCCTCCATTTCTTTCTCCTCTTTACTTTGTTTCTCCACTATATTCTTCTTGTGTCTTCCTTCGGTGGTTTTTTGGGTTTTTGTTGACTACAGTAACTTTTTTGCTCCATGAATCTGGTGGTTCGTGTATAGGTTCCTGAATCCCACTGAGGCCTGTTCTTAGGCCAAGGGCCTTATGGAGTAAGGGTGCGTTCTGGAGGCTGATTTCAGAAAGAGTTTCCTTTTCTGTTTGTTGTTGTTTTTTTGGAGGCGGGAGTTCTCGGCCCTGTTGCCAGCTGGAGGTTGCAGTGGTGTACTCCGCTCACCGTGGGCTCCGGCCTCCCGGGCGTTCACACCATATTCTGGTGCCTCAGCCTCCCGAGGTAAGGCTGGCGATTACAGGCACCCACCACCGACGCCGAGTTCATTTTTTGTATTTTTTAGGTAGAGATTGGGTTTCACGTTGTTAGGCCAGGAGGTTTGCTCGATCTTCCTGACCTCGTGATCGGCCCGCCCTTTCGGGCCTCCAAATGCCTGGAAGATTAACAAGCCGGTGGAGCCACCGGCCCCGGCCAGAACAGTTTCTTTTTTTTTTTTTTTTTTTTTTTTTTTTTTAACTTTAGGTCAAACAAGCAAACAGTACCCAATTGAGTAATAAAGTGTTTTTCTGAGAGTACTAATTTAAATAATGACACACCTTCATCCTGCTGCAGGAGCTGTTGTCACCATCACCACGCCCGTGAACATGAACGTGGACAGCCTTCAGTCTCTGTCCTCGGACGGGGCCACCCTGGCGGTGCAGCAGGTCATGATGGCAGGGCAGAGCGAGGACGAGTCGGTGGACAGCACAGAGGAGGACGCGGGTGCTCTGGCCCCTGCCCACATCAGTGGGCTTGTCTTGGAGAACAGTGACTCCCTACAGTAGGGGCAGGAGCAGATGCACCTGACTTTTTAGAGTTTGCACAGCAAACATTTTACACAGTTTTATTTCTAATATGTTTTATATGTAGATATAGAAGAGTGCACTTTTGTATTTCATAGTAAGCTTAAAGCGCGTCTTTGCCGGTGCAGCGACTTCTTTCAAGAGTGTGTGTGTGTGTGTGTGTGTGTGTTTTTAAAGAAATTCTTTAAAGGTTTAACGCTAGATTGTGAGGAATGACACACCACTCCCTCCCCACCTTGAATCCCTAATTAGATTAAGAAATAGCGCTGCCATTTTCTAAACCGTGATGCAGTTTTCACTTCGTTCTGTGGTTCCAGCAGATCTCAGTGGGCTGGCTTATTTGTGTGGCCCATGGATTTGAAAGAAGCTGCTGCACCCGAAACTGCCAGTGTGCGGTGACAACGGCACACGCCTAGACTGAGTGTGGTTTCATCGTGAGTGGATGGATGGCAAGCTTAGCAAGCCTAAGTCCGCTCATGTTCAGTGAGCCTGTTTCATTTGCTATATATAAAAAGAAACTCCTATTTTTACCTTGCTGGAATTATTGGATAAAAAAGCTATTTTTATAAATTCGTTATGAATTGGATGATGACTATATTGAGGATAAAATTTCTAGAGAAAGAAACAATACATGCTTGCTATTAATATTTCAATTTGGAATGTTCTGAATTGACCAAATTTAATGAACCTGCCCAAAGTTAGCTACTGTTCCATGGTTCTTTGCTCTCCCAGGGTAGTGATGAGCATTTACTACTATAAAAGAAACAGCTGTTTAATGAAATTTTGATATCTGCAGATTTTTGTTGATATGTAATGCTCGGATTGCATTTTACACTTGATCTAAACATGTATCGAAATGTATTTGCTAAATAGGACTTCAGGTAAGTGAGGCGAAATGGTAGCCAGTGATCCGTTAGGAGCTCTTACCATACATACTCCAGTCTAATTTAAATCTGACCACAGTTGCATGGTTGCTTTACCATGTTATCTGTGTATTATTTTAGAAGTTTTAAATTCAAAATATGTTATGCACAGAATGTTTATTATAAACTAATATAAAATGTGCTCTACCCCATTGGCTCAGAGCTAGGGCAAGCAGCAGATATTCAGACTTTATTACTTAACTAGCCGACATCCCTGGAGTCCCAGCGGCGAGTTGGTCTGGCGAGGGCGCAGCGGCAGCCCCCACGGGTTGGCTCCCACGTTTGCATTTGTGGCTGGTCTCCTGGTGTCAGTGTTCTCTTGTTGTACGTTGTTGCTTTTGACTTTCCAGAGCCCTCCTGCTCACTTGACCGTATGAGATTTGGAGTAACTTGTAGGACTAATGTTTCCTGGTAACAAGATGAACTGAAAGAGTGGGCTGGGTTCTGTTTTCTTCGGTTTTGATTTGTTTTCATTTGTTTACTTAGGAGTGGTGCTTTTTCTCAGAAAACAGGCCACAGTGTTTCATACAGAATGTCTTTATATCATCTGAAATGGTATGGCCCAAGTTCATTTGTTTATAGGGTCAGGAATGTCTTTAATTCTTGAGATTCAACAGTAATGATTGGTTGTAAGCCAAGGGACATTTTAAGCGAGTGAAGTGTTTTTTCTGGAACTGATTTTTCCCAAAAGAATATATTAATTGAAGTTAATCATAGGGGAGTACTTCTAGATAACTTAGAAGTCAGCGGGAAACATACAGAAATGTATTTTAAAATCTTTCAGGAGCTTTAACTGAAAGACTTGATTATCAGCTCTTTTGGGGAGAGAATGACTTTTTTTTTTTTTTTTTTTTTGAGGCAGAGTTTTGCTCTTGTTGCCCAGGCTGGAGGGCAATGGTGCGATCTCAGCTCACTGCAACCTCTACCTCCCTGGTTCAAACAATTCTCCTTCCTCAGCCTCCCGAGTTGCTAGGATTACAGACATGCGCCACCACGCCTGGCTAATTTTGTATTTTTAGTAGAGATGGGTTTCTCCATGTTGGTCAGTCTGGTCTCAAACTCCCGACCTCAGGTGATCCACCTGCCTCGGCCTCCCAAAGTGCTGGGATTACAGGCGTGAGCCACCACGCCTGGCCGAGAATGAAGCCACCATTGCATTCCTCATTTGTGAACTGTTTTCTCATATTTTAAGTCAAGTCTACAAGATCATTTTAACCTAAGTTCCAACTTTGTTGACTTTTTAAAATAAGCACCCATGAAAGCCAGCCGGCCCTTCCTCCTTCCCTTACCACCCTCCGTCTCTTGGGCTGCCTGCTCTTTAGTGTAGATTGGTGGAAGCCATTCACAGAATGTAGACTCATGTATAGGTCACTGTTTCTTTCCCGCATTAGAAATCACATTCACTGAGCAGTGGATGGAATTTAAACACTGCCCTTGCCCAGCACAGTAGAGCGTGCCTCTCGTTCCAGCTACTCGGGAGTCTGAGGCAGAGGATGGCATGTGCCAGGAGTTTGAGGCTGCAGTGCACTGTGCCTGCACCTGTGAATAGCCACTGCACTCCATCTTGGGCAACACAGTGAGACCCCATCTATAAAAAGAGGGCACTGTGTGAACCTTGGTGGCACTGGGAAGCTCTGGCCTGAGAGTTAAACACCCATGCTGAATGGTACAGTGTGCATTCTCCAGCTGAAAACTTTCAACTTTCCTAAATTCTTACTAAATTCAGAGGAATAGGATAAAGATCACGTAGAGAGAGGGTGCTTATGGACATAGCCTGAGTTTCCTTTAACCTCTCTCCACTGGGTGCTTTTAACTAGCTTCTACGTGGCAAGCCGTTTCAGTTTGTAAAATCACTGCCCAGCATGTTTGAGGTCAGTTGGCACCTTAAAACACCTGTTCCCCAGCCCTCGGACAGTGGAAAGAATCTGTAAAAGTGTGACCCCTTTAAGATTTCATTTTAAATGATCGGATTTGATCCCAGTTTTATTCTTGTTGAATTTTTCCCTATGAAGGCTCCCTTTGAATGTGTCTTGAGACCCAAATTGAGCATGTTGCTGTTGTTGCTGCCCTGCACCTGTTGAGCAGGAGTGGCAGGGCTGGCTGTGCTGGGCTCCTGCACGCTCCTGCGAGGGACTAGCTCGGCCTTTGCGCTTTGATTCCAGCTAGTAAGATGAGTGGAAGTGTTTATCCAGTATGCAAAGGAAACCCTCATGGCTAAGGGCTCCGGGAGCTGTGTCTGTGTGACCTGAGAGTGATCCGGCTCCTGCCTGAGGAATCAGGGTGCCCAGCTGGGGTTCTGCCCCCTGCGAAAGCCCATTCCTGGCACTTAGAAAGAACTCAGCAATCTTCTTTCGTTCTAGTTATGTTCGGTCTTTGAAACTGACAATCTTTGAAATGTGAATACTGTAACAATATGTTTTCTTGGATTGTTGTCTTTAAAAAGGATTTTTGTGAAGCAATTGATTTATCAAAGCAAAAAAATTAAAAATAGAAACTTGCTTTACGAATGTTTTATTTTATAAAGCTCATGTCACCGAAAGCTGCTTTTCCATTTTAGGTAAAACATTGAGAGTGTTTTTCATGTTTTCTGGTGACATGTAGGGTCTGTAGTGACCCCTGCATATTGGGAAACCAGGACCACACTGCATCGGACTCTTCAGGTCCATTCACATGTCCAAGAATCTTTTCTTCAATTCCTTACTTTGTTCATTCAGTGGCTGTCCAGGCAGAAAATGGAAACAGGTAGCTTTTATGTTTTTTATTATAGTTTTCCATAAATCTAATTATTCTGATAGTTCATATTATAAATTTTCATGACAAGAAAGTTCCTGAAGATTTAAAAGGTACATTAAAACAATTTCAGAGGGTTTTTAATCTTTGTTATCCAAAGTGTTATAACTCCCAACAACTGTTCATGCTTAGAGGGTAAAGTCAGCAGACTTATGTATTTTAAAAACCACATCCAAAATTGTGAGTCTTGTTGGTGATTAGTAGTGACAGCTGACTGTATTGTTTCAGGAAATGTTTTTCATTGATTTACAGAAAACCGAGGCACCGTGTTGTGTCTCAAGTTCCCTCAGGTCGGAGGTGAGAGGACGGACATGAGCTTGATTAGTGTGGGGTCTCAGGCAGTCCCGGCATCTCTAGACTTTCAGGGCTTCCTTTGTGAAAAGGACGGACTGGGCTGGGCGCGGTGGCTCCAGCCTGTAATCCCAGCACTTTTGGAGGCAGAGATGGGCAGATCATGAGGTCAGGAGATCGAGACCATCCTCGCTAACACAGTGAAACCCTGTCTCTACTTTAAAAAAAAAAAAAAAAAAACTATCCAGGTGAAGTGGCGGGCGCCTGTAGTCCCAGCTACTCGGGAGGCTGAGGCAGGAGAATGGCATAAACCCGGGAGGCGGAGCTTGCAGTGAGCTGAGATCCGGCCACTGCACTCCAGCCTGGGCAAGAGCGAGACTCCGCCTCAAAAAAAAAAAAAAAAAAAAGAACTGGCTTATAAGGTTTATTCTAGCTCTACAATGATGTACTAATATAGACTCTATCTCTCCATCTAAAGAGAGATGAGGAAGTGAGTAATGGTCTAGCAAATCCAGAAAATAAGAAATATTTGTATTAAATATTTAGTGTTTCACACTTTCTGAATTATACGAATGTCATAAATAATGTCTACTGTTTTTAGCTTTCATCCCATTCTATTATATATACTCTCAGAAGAAATTCTTAGTACAAGGCCAGGCTTGGTGGCTCACGCCTGTAATCCCAGCACTTAGTGAGGCCAAGCTGGGTGGACCACCTGAGGTCAGGAGTTTGAGATCAGCCTGGCTGGCCAACATGATGAAACCCCGTCTCTACTAAAAACGCAAAAATTAGCCAGGCGTGGTGGCTCATGCCTGTAATCCCAGCTACTCGGGAAACTGAGGCAGGAGACTCTCTTGAATCTGGGAGGCGGAGGTTGCAGTGAGCTGAGATTGCCCCACTGCTCTACAGCCTGGGGCATAAAGCGAGACTCTGTCTCAAAAAAAAAAAAAAACTTAGTACAAATTATTTTTGCCCTTGTACAGTAAGATCTTTGTACCTTCACTAAGACCTAGGATCATTGTTTAACTATCGTTGTTCATAAAATCTGCGAGACGAGTGACTATATAGCATCTAAGCACGTGCGACTGAAAGCAGTGAATGCTGCTCCCAGTGTGGCATCTGGGCCTGGGCCAGCTTTCCCCAATGCCACATCCTCACCACGCGGCCCAGCTCGGGTTGGCACCTGCAGGCTCCTCTCTGCCAGGCCTCCTCAGGTCTGGCTTTTGTAGTCTATAAAGGACTAGTTAGGGTTGCTTACTTGGATAATTTGTAAATATTTTGTATAAAAATAGTATTTAGAAGGTATCGTCATATACAGATGTTTCCATTCTTTATCTCGTTATGTGAATCAGGATTTCAACCCTGTAAAAAGCAAGAATGGTTTTAATATAAATCAGGAATTCTAGGCTGGGCGCGGTGGCTCACTCCTTTAATCCCAGCACTTTGGGAGGCCGAGGCGGGCGGATCACCTGAGGTCAGGAGTTTGAGACCAGCCTGGCTGACGTGGAGAAACCTGGTCTGTACTAAAAATACAAAAATTAGTCGGGCATGGTGGTGGGTGCCTGAAATCCCAGCTACTCGGGAAGCTGAGGCAGGAGAATCGCTTGAACCCGGGAGGCAGAGGTTGTAGTGAGCCGAGACCATGCCACTGCAGTGCAGCCTGGGTAACAGAGCGAGACTCTGTCCCCCCTCCCCCCAAAAAAATCAGGAATTCTTTTATTCCAGAATCTTTCAAAAGAAATATTTTAGGCTGGGCACAGTGGCTCATGCCTATAATCCCAGCACTTTGGGAGGCCAAGGCGAGTGGGTCACAAGGTCAGGAGTTCCAGACCAGCCTGGCCAGTATGGTGAAACCCTGTCTCTACTGAAAATATAAAAAATTAGCCAGGCATGGTGGCGTGTGCCTGTAGTCCCAGCTACTTGGGAGGCTGAAGCAAGAGAATTCCATGAACCCAGGAGAGGGAGGTTGCGGTGAGCCGAGATCGCGCCACTGCACTCTAGCCTGGGCGACAGAGTGAGACTCCTTCTCCAAAAAAAAAGAAAAGAAAAAACATTTTAATGATGGCTTTAGTTGCTTAGACATTTTTAGAAAATGGCCTGTAGAAAAATAAGGTATATTTAAAAATATTTCACTTTATATTCACTGTTTTCTTTCACATTATCTTAACACAGCAATCCATGTCAGAAATAAGTTGTGAAGCCCTTGACAGTTTACATTGTCTTGTGTGTGAGTGTCGACTGAGTTGTAGAGACCGTGGAGCGGGAGGAGAGCAGCCAGCGAAGGTGGAGAAATGCTCAGCTGAACTGTGCCAGGGAGTCCCAGGAAGGAGCGCTTCCCGCAGCAGAAGCTGTGAGAGTGTGGGTTGCTGTGGGAGGATAGATGGGAGAAGGGACAGGGGGCTGGGCAGCCAGGAGGGACTGGTGGCCTGGGAGACAGCAGTGCAGAGGAGAGGGGAGGGCAGAGGCAGGCGCCGTGGGTTCTGGGCATGGCCGTGAGCCACTGGAAGATGATATGGGAGCTTGTCTTTGCTCTGTTGGGGAAGAAGCCCTTACTTTGAGACCCCAAAGGCATACATCCGAGGGCAAAACATGGGTGATCTGGCCAGATCAAAATTCAGTTTTTCTGTGCAGTGGAGGACACAGAGGACTGTTAACAGGTGGTGACTGACAGCAGCACTTTCCTTGTTCCTTCTTTTCAATGCATAAAGCCAGCAAGGAGCCAGTGTTTAGGGGAATTCTAGAAGTCTCTAGAACCATGACAGCGAATGTTAATAGTTCATTGAAAGGAGATCAGAGGACCAAGCAGCACGTGAAGACTGCAGGCCTCACCACGCCCAGGGAGTGTGAGCTGGAGCCCAGGGGCGTGCCGCCTTGTCGGCGGGCTGCAGTGAGGAAGCTGGGACTGGGGATCTGCAGAAACGGGAACTTGTGTGGTGCTAGCAGGAATATCACAGGGCTAGCCATTTTGGAATGAACCTGACAGTACAGTCACATGTCATGTAACAACGGGCTGTGCTCTGAGAAACGCCTCTTTAGGGGACTCTGTCACCGTAGGAACACCACAGTGCGCTCACACAGCTCACGACACACCCACCCTGTGTGGGCCCGTTGCTCCCGGCCAAAGACCAGCGCGGCACGTGACCCTGCTGTATACCCGGGGCAGTCCTAACATATCGTAAGGATTTGTGTGTCTAAACAGCTAAATTGGCCGGGTACCGTGGCTCACGCATGTAATCCCAGCACTCTGGGAGGCTGGGGCAGGCAGATCACTTGCACTGAGCTGCTCGAGAGCAGCCTGGGCGATAGAGTAAGACTTCATCTCTACAAAAAAATGTAAAAATTAGCCTAGCATGGTGGCTGACGCCTGTAGCCCAGCTCCTCGGAGGCTGAGGTGGGAAGATGTCTCGGACTCAGGAGGGAAAGGTTTTGGTGAGCTGTGATGACACCACTGCATGCCAGCCTGGGCGACAGAGCCAGACCCCGTCTGAAAAAAAATGTGCTAAACAAAGAAAGATACAGTAAAAATACAGTCTAAAGTGTTAAAAGTAGCACAGGGCACTTACCAGGAGCTGTCAGTACATCAGGGAGTATGAGTGAGCACGGAAGCCTAGGATGTTACTGTGTGTACTTATGTGCGCTGGCAGCACCAGACACGGGAGATACACTGTGCTCCACGTTCTGACGACAGGGACTTCTCCACTCTGCTGTAACCTCACGGGACCTCCTTGGTCTGCTAGGTCTGTTGTTGGCCGAAACATCGTGGGTGGCACAGACCTGCGCAGAGACGCTCACTGCAGCCTCGCCTGTGGCGGCAGGGGTTACAGAAGCAGTGTGGACACCCACATGGAAGGGAGCGGGATGCGCTGCTGGGCGTGTCGTGGGGGTGTGGCTGTGTGACAGTTGGCGCCGGACATTCTTGGGTCTGCTTCTGTCAGCAGCTTTATTTCGTGGCCGTGGATTGTCTGGTGTTTATCTCATAGTTTACTGAATGCCGGGAGTCTTTTTGTAGAACAGTGGAGACCAAGATGAATAGTCCTCACGCCCAGAAACAGGCACTTCCCTTCGGACAGGCCCTGGGTGGGTGTGGTCACCAGGTGAGCTGGCTGTGGGCTTGGGGCTGCCTTTGTCCCTGCGGGCACCACAGGCTTCCGATTCTTCCAGCAGTGGCCACAGCCAGCGTGTGCATGGTGTGGGTGCCAGAGTGGCCCTGCCCCTCCTTAGGTGCCAGCAGGCCTTGGATGCTGCGCTGTGCCTGGTATCTGTTCCTGCCCTCCCTCGCAGAGGGCTGTTGCTGCCTGCTCCTGGCTCCGCCTCCGTCGCAGGTGGGTCCTATACCCTTGGGGTACAGGGCTCATGCCCACTCCTGCCTCTGCTGCCAAACTCTGCCCCTCTGGGCGGGAGAGTGTCTGAGCCAGGG